TCTAAAAAAATTTATTAACAATTTGAATATAATTTATTTTTATATTAAAGCTGAGGTGAGATGCAAAAGATCTAATTTATTATTATTATAATTATTATTATTACACTACTAATAATCTTAAATGACCCAAATTTATTTTTATCATTTCAAAGTTATGTAACTTTTCTTTTGACATTTTAAAAGAAAAACAGACGTATGAATGCATGAAATATAAAAGGTTGTGAATAGACAAAGACTTAATTGTGACTTATTTACGTAGTAAAAAATGTAATTTCAATGAAAATTATTATATTATATTATATTATATACCACTATTACTACTTTTTTTTTTTTTTTGAACTCGGTGAAAAGCATATTATTTAATCAAAACCATACAGCATCTACAAAGAAATTCAAATGAGATTGATGAAATTACAAACAAATTAAACACAATTGGAGAGAAAAAATAAAAGGTAGATCAAGTTCAACATAAAACAAATAAAGGAGGGTAGTGAGCATTTCACACGAATAACCGTTAAGGAAACAGATTGACAGATTCCTTTGGTCGATCATTCCAAAGATCTGGACACCCTTCCATCTATTTTTGTATAGATTATGCATGTTCTCCAGGATGCTGTGGTTGGAGCAGTAGAGCAAGCGGCGGCCATCCCCTAAATTCTTCATGATTGGCTTGTTGGCCACTAAATCTGAGAAACTAAAATAAAAAAAACAAGAAACAAAAGGAAAAGAGAGCAAATGCCCCCAACAGGACCACAAAAGAATCGACAAATCATTTAAAGTGGTCATTGAACATAGGAGCACGGTGGACCGACTCCACCATGCTTGAGAAGCCCTTCGGCCACTCAAGCATCAAAAGCTCTAGAAGCTCGGAGGCTTCCAAGCACCCAAAAGCAGATGAGAACTGGAGAAGTTGTAAGGCAGAGTCTGAAAAATTCTAAAGAAGAGAGATGCTTACTGTCTACTTTTTAAAAAGACCATATCACTATTACTACTTAATTAAAAGATAAAAAGTATAAGCAAGTGTGAAGATAAAAAATTTGTATGTACTAAAATTTCTTCATGAAAAATGTGATTTTAAATTTTCAATTACAATTATTATATCATGGTTTAGTGAAAAATGTAAGCTTTATTATAATTATTATATCATGGTTTATTATTGAAGATGAAAAAGTAACATGATAAAAATGACAATTATTGATTTATTGTAAAATATCATTAGTTAATAATACAAAAACACAAAAAAAAAAAAAAAAAAAAACTCAAACAACATATAACCTATTTATAAGAAAAAAAAAGAATAAAAATAAAGACACTGATTGGTACACACCCGGATCCCACACCCGGGTGTGCACCCCTCACATAAAAAAAAAAGTTGGACTAGGTGATGAGTTTTTTTTTATGTTTATATGGTGTGTGCACACTCGGGTGTGGGATTCGAGTGTGCACACATCATTATCCTAAAAATAAAGCTAATATAGCTAATTTAAATGATCTCGAAATCAACAACTTAAGCAGCAACATGATATAATCAAATAAATAGATGACAACTGGTTTAAATCCATTATGCAACTCAAAATTAAATAAATAAATAATAAAATTTCAAATATTAGTTAAATAAAAAAAACTATTACAACTAAAATGGTTCCATGCCTAGGATAAACCACAAAAAATTGGGAAAAAAACATAGATAAAACAAAAATGATAAGATTTAATGTTATAATAAAAAAACTATTACAACTAAAATTGTTCCATGCCTAGGATGAACCACTAAAAATTGGGAAAAAAATATATAGATAAAACAAAAATGATAAGATTTAATGTTATAAAATTAAAATAATAGTAAACTTCGATCATTTAAAAAAGTTTTAAAACTTCAATTTATAATATATAAGAATACAAAAAAAAAAAAAAAGTTTTTTACCATAGAGACTAATACCCATTAATCGCATACCATATTACCATTAGCCGAGTTTTCGTATGGTAATTTTAACACAAGGATAAGAACTTAACATACCTAAAACAAAAAGGTAAGGGACAAAAATCTCTAAAACTTGCAAGTTGGAGGGCACTTCATAGGTTTTTTTTCCATGTTTCGAACTGTTAATGTTAACTCGGGTCGGGTTAATCATCAGTTTCCCTGACACGCCACCGGTTTACCAGATAGCAAACCTAAACGGCTAAATCAGCAGCACACTCTCTGCATCGATCCTCGGCTCTCAGTTTTTCATCTTTCTCAGCAAGCCATGGCATTCCCCTTCATGGAAGCTGTTGTAGGTACGCTCTTCTATCGCCGAATCTCAAAACCTCCGAAACAGTCACAAAAACAAGCTTCTATCTCTTAGCTTTGTTCTGCTTCTTGCTGGTTGAGAAATTTTCTGGCTTTCACGATTTTATTTATTAGTCTTTAGGTAATCGGTATTGGGTTTCTTCTGAACGCATTCAAGTTTTCTGCTTTGCATTATTCTGGTTTAAATGTTATTGTTCAAGGTCTGTCTCTGTCATCTTCACATGTTGGGGTTTCTTGTTTCTTTGTCTTTTCATTTTGTTTATGCTATTGCAGCGGTTGCAATGGCCTCAAAGATTTTTTTTTTTTTATACCCTCATTTTAGTGTGCTATGTAGCTCAGTGTAGTGTTCTTTTGTTGATGAGCACCTATCTTGTTGATGTTTATAGATAGCTGCTAGAAATCTTGGGTCTTTTTTTTTTTTCTTAACAATGACTTTATTTTCTTTGCCTTTAATTTAAACAGGTTTTATGATCTTGATGTATATCTTTGAAACCTATTTGAATTTACGACAACATGCTGCTCTCAAACTGCCAACTCTTCCAAGAACTTTGGAAGGAGTAATCAGCCAAGAAAAATTTGAAAAGTCTCGAGCTTACAGTCTTGATAAGAGGTTAGTCTTATTTCCTTGGATTTTTTAACAAGAGCAAAAGCCATATGACAGTTGAACTCCATCAGAGGATAAGTGCCCTTAATCTCTTGCTTGAAATATTTTTCTTGATGCGTGATTCGTTGATTCCAGCTACTTCAATTTTGTTCACGAGTTTGCGAATATACTGATGGAGTCTGCAATTTTGCTCTTTGGTGTATTACCTTGGTTTTGGAAGGTGAGAAATATGTTTTATGTTGGTGAAGTGAACCCTACATTGCTGTTGATTTTCACAATCCTATTTCTTTGCTTATTTTTTGACTGCAGAAATCAGGAGATTTCTTGCTTTTTGCTGGTCTCAATGCAGAAAATGAAATACTTCATACTCTTGCTTTTCTGGCTGGTGTGATGATATGGTCACAGGTGCATCCATGATTCATCTTTTGAACTCTGGAAAATAAATGGCTTTGGTTTTGCTGTGTCAAAGAAAATTCTTCCTCTTGTCTAAGTGTTTGTCTCTAACATGTTCCATCCATCTGCTGCAGATTCATGGAAAATGATGATCCAATTGAATTTGTTAAGTACTGTACACTGATGGGTAATATTGACCATCTTTTGAACAATGTTTTGCAGATCACTGACCTGCCATTTTCTCTCTATTCAACTTTTGTGATTGAGGCTCGCCACGGTTTCAACAAAGTTTGTATTCTCAAATGCCGCTTTTCTTTTTTATGTCATTTCTTTTTCTGTTTTTTCGATTTTAATGATTCCTTCCCTCTTTCATCCATCGCATACCCACATTTCCTCCTGCTTTATAATGTTTTTCTTTTCATTCCTTTTCAGCAAACAATATTGTTGTTCTTCAGGGACCTCTTCAAAGGAATGTGCCTTGCTATTATACTTGGTCCACCTATTGTTTCTGCAATTATTGTAATAGTGCAGGTAAAATTTTTTTTCCCTCTTTAGCATTTCTATGCTTTTGGGGAATTCTCTTGGTCCTTTTTCTTGAATTTAGTAGAATTCCATATATAGAAAGTTAGAAACTGACAATGTAGGACATGCGTTGACAACTTTATTCCTAATCCTTCCTCATTTTGGGTGAGAATGTTAATTTGTTGGTTGCAGAAAGGAGGCCCTTATCTGGCTATCTATCTTTGGGCGTTTATGTTTGTCCTTTCTCTTGTGATGATGACACTGTACCCTCTTCTGATAGCCCCACTCTTTAACAAGTTCACCCCTGTGAGTATTTGAAACTTTTTTCTTGAGTTAAATTCATTCAAATGTGTACCTTCTTCAATGATATTGTTTTCCCTGGTTATGTTGTTATGAAAAGCTTCAACAAGGTGAGCTTAGAGAGAAAATTGAGAAACTTGCAGCCTCTCTCAATTTCCCTTTAAAGAAATTGTTCGTTGTTGATGGATCCACAAGGTCAAACCACAGCAATGTAAGGATTCAGCACATCTAAAATTGTTGCTTCTCTATACACTGATAGATTGATCATATGCTTAATATTTTCAAGTAATGTTGAAAATGTATGTGAAAATAGTAAATCTTGGGAAATGACAGCCCACATTGAATTAAATTATTGTTTAACTGATTATCAGACTTAACATAGAGACTGTAATGGTTCAAAGATAGGGAAATGTGACAAGGAAATATGGAAGTTTGCTGTTTACTGATTTATCTTGTCTATGTGACCACAGGCCTATATGTATGGATTCTATAAGAACAAGCGTATAGTCCTTTATGACACATTGATTCAGCAGGTATGGCAGATTCTTTTCTAAGTTAAAAATCTAGAAGTTTTGCAGCAACTTGCAGTACTGTTTTCTCCTTACCCCATTAATTCATAAATTGATAAAAATATCTAAGTTGTTCTTAGATGAGGTGAATGATAATGGCCTCTTTTCCTGTCTTCGGTAGTTCAGTTTGTTAAACATACCCTTCTTTATAGTGAAGCAAAAATCACAATCGCATCTCCGTATCTCTATTCTACGAGAGGCACATCATCCAACACTCTCAGGAGACTTTCATTGTTTGTTTGTTTTTCAGAAAGATATAATAAATGTGAGGTTACGAAACTAACATGGAAAATGAGGAACAATCATTTTTTTCTGTCAAATTATCAACTTAGATGATATGGAAACTACCTCCTCTTTCTAGGGAGCTCTCCTTATGAGTCAAAAAGGTATTTAAGTGTTCAACTGATTTTTTGCAGTGCAAAGATGATGAGGAAATTGTCGCTGTCCTAGCTCATGAACTGGGGCATTGGAAACTTAACCATACCATGTACTCATTCATTGCTGTGCAGGTATGCCTCTCATAGGAAGAAAAATGAAAAAAAGGGCAGGGAACAGATGCTAAACCATTTATTACCCTCTCATAGGAAATGTTGCAAATCAAATCTGGAGCACTGATCTCTCTGTTGCTTCTTCCTATATATTGCTAGTCTTGTCTTGTGTTACTGTCTAGTAGATATTATGTATTGTCTGTTTCAGTAACTTCTCTACCTTTGATTTGATGTTGCTTGCTTACTTTTTGGTTCTGCTCCATTACAGATTCTTACATTGTTGCAATTTGGAGGATATACGCTTGTCAGGAATTCAACTGATCTCTTCCGAAGTTTTGGATTTGACACACAGCCTGTACTCATTGGCCTCATCATATTTCAGGTACACATGTATCTTTTCTTATTATTTTGGTCAGGTGATAGTGTTTAGGCCAGAAAATTTGTTTTACTGGCATAACCAATTTGTAGCAAGCAATGTAGTATAAGTTCTGTTCTGTATGGTTAGGATTGAACTCTTCAATCATTGTTCTGTTCCTCTGTTGTCTGCAGCATACTGTAATACCACTCCAACACCTTGTAAGCTTTGGTCTTAATCTTGTAAGCCGATCTTTTGAGTTCCAGGTAATTTATCTTTACACTATTCTAACTCTGCCTTTTAACTTTCTCTCTGTTACATGCACGTGAAAATGTTAATTATGGCATTGAGGATCGTATTTTCTTATGTAACTGTTTTATGTAGGCTGATGCCTTTGCCAAGAAGCTTGGCTACTCCTCTCCTTTACGTGCTGCTCTTGTGAAGCTGCAGGTAAAAATTGCTTATTACTCAGTTCCCTCCTAATTGAAAACAATCTCTGGCACCTAAAGGTGTGATAATATATGGTCTGCGGATGTCAATTATTGTGCTATTTCTTAGGAATTATTAGTCTCTGAATGGTTCCTTTTTGTGATTGTGGGATTAAAATGAAATATCTTAACAGAAATCTGAGTGTTTCTAAACCATAACCTTGTTGATTTTTTCAGGAAGAAAATCTGTCAGCTATGAATACAGATCCATGGTACTCTGCTTATCATTACTCTCATCCTCCCCTTGTCGAGAGACTGGCTGCACTCGATGAATCTGGCAAAAAGACTGATTGATATCAGATTTGGACAAGGCTATAGGGTGCCAACATCAAATTTTTTTAATTTCAATGTAACGTTTTCAGCTTACACCGCCTGCCCCTTAAATCACTTCTATAACTAGTCAGAGGTGCAGTTTACAGGAAAATCTCCAATCAAGCAGGAGAAAGTAAGGTACCTGAAACTTTTGAACAAAAGAACATCGTCCTGTTATATCTCCAATGGTTGCATGAGAGCTAATCATAGAATCTAAACTGTTCAATCTTTTTCACCCATATTTGCATGTGGGTTTGATCTTAGGAGCCACTGGAGACACCTCTGCCTTTTGACATTCTGTGAGCGAATTTCAATACAAAACTAGTGTATGATTGGTTTAAGCTTCTAAAGTTGGGGGAAGTGGAGTTTTTCAAAAATGGGTTTTTTGAATTTTTTTAAGAGTTATCAGTTTTGCAGTTTGAGTTAATGTCGTACTACTTATATGTTTTATAGTTAGGAAAATAATTTTGGAATAACTTTTTTTGTCATCTTTTAGTATAATTTGATGAATTGTTTAAGTGATTTTTTTTTTTATTTATGTAGGATTCGTGATGTTATATGTATTCACTCATTTAATGACATAGGAAAATTATATCAAAAGGTAATATAAAAAAATTGTTCTTGTAACACTACACATTTATAGCTATTAGTGGAGGGGTCATTCTAGCATCAGGGCTTGGCTCTCATTGAAGAAGGGGGATTATCTTTATATCAAGGAATTTGTTCTCTTTCAATGTGCTGCGTGGGGAGATTATACATCACTTTTTGGTTTATAAAAATGTTAATTTGTAACTTTGTTTAGGGTATATTTTTGGCAAAACCATAAGTTAAGCCCCTGAACTAACCCCAGAATTGCTATTAAGCCCCTAGACTTTAATTGATGCAGTTAAGCCCTTGAACTCTGGGATCAAAGCAATTAAGTTCTTCTTCTTAAGCAATTTATTTTAAAAATT